ATAGACCTTCTGTTAAAGCTAAGCTCCTAAAATGGCCCATTCTGAATTTTCTGACATCAGAAAACGCAATCATCCATGTGTACTCATCAGTGATGACTATTGGGTGACCAGAAACTTCACAGTGTGGTAGAGTATCACTTAATGTGGTAAGTGATGCTTTTCCCATGTGAAAAGAGTAATTGCATATAGAAGCATTAAAGGTGCAGCAGCAGCAAAAAAAAAAAGTTACATTTTGAAGGTCGGGGAGAGAGTAGAATATGGCCATAACCAAAATGTCAAGTCAAAATGATGTTTTGGTGCAAAAAACATTTATAATTGTATCTCAGGGGAAAAAAAGTGTGTATGATATGGCCCCTTTAATGTATAAATTAACTACATAATTATTTTAATATCTCTTCTAATATCCTTTATAGTACAATTAATAATTGTCTATTGTTATTGAAAGGTTTTCTACACAACAGTACTACAGTTTTAGATTATATCACAGCCTTTCTCCTTTAGCTTCGTGTCAAATATTCATGTTTTTCATGTATATCAGATTTTGTTCTTGTGTAAATTGAAAATAGATGTCTTTTTTTTTTTCCCCCCTCCAGTGAACACGGGGATTGTGAATCACACTCACTCCAGAATGGGTTCTATAATGAGCACCGGAATCGTCCAGGGTGAGTGTCTCTGCTCTTATTGTTTTCACACAGTAAAACAGGGCCTGGACTCTTACAGATAAATTGATATTCCTTCCAAAAATTAAAATTCTCTCATATTTACTCACCATCATGTTATCAAATGGAAAAATAAGGCTTTTGTTCATCTTCAAAACACAAATGAAGATATTTTTCATATTCTCTCATCATTTTTGTCCAGACATTGAAAGTCTACACTTTACAAAATTTTCATGCATAAAAAATTACGTAGACATAAAGTAACTTTTCATAAAAGCTTTTATTCATATGTAAACAGTGATCATTCATACATTCATGTAAAACACCCGCGCCTCGTTTTGATTTTGAAACGTGCAGTGCTCATGTTTATTCGACAAAGTCAAAGCCTTTTGGAAGATTTATTTGTGGCAGTCAGTTTTGATATTGTGGCGGGCCGCCACAAATAAATCAATGTATGCGAAACACTGAACATTGTCATGGTTTTAAAGTGTGAAGGTGTTTAATATCGTGTTGCACTGAACATTTGTGCTTGGTGTGATATGAATAGGCCTTTACAGTACTGGTAGTGTGTGCTGAGTGCCTGCAGATTGATACCATGTGAATAGTCTCATTAAATTCATTCTCAAACAATGAGTGTTGTATTTTCGAGGTGACGTGTTAAGTAAAAAAAGAAAAGGTTCCACCTCAAACATTTTTCGCTCTCTTCCAGTCTCTCCATTTAGTTGTTTATAAAGAGTCTTACATAAAGCTGATTAGGGTGAAGTGAACCTGAAACCAGGCTAATTATACAAATTCTTTGACTACTTATTAGTTGACTAATTAATAAAAAATAGTTTGAACATTCCTAATGGTGATTGTTCTTTGATTTGATCTCTTAAGCCCAAAGTATAGTTCAGTTTTCACACAAACACTTAGCATACACATACAGCCAAAAGCACAGCTTTTCAAAATATACTCCATTTGATCGCGTGTAAACACAGGCACTGACATGCCCACTAGAATGTTTCCACCTTGTGGATAAACTTAGTAGTACCAAAAAAATTGTCACACACACTATACAAGTATCACAGCTTAAAAACACACAAAGCATACTTTTAACTTCAACATCTTAGTAACCACATGTTCATAAATACAAAGGATGTAATGTTGCTTTTATCTCCTCTCAGGGGCTACAACTGCCCAGCAGGGTCCCAGCAGCAGCAGTCCTTATTACCCCGTCACCAACCAGTTCACCATGGGTGGCCCGGCTATCTCCATGGCATCTCCTATGGCCATCCCCAGCAACACCATGCACTACGGGAGCTAAGGCCGAGGGACGGCCTCTGAATGTCCAATTACCCACCCCCCCCACCTCACCCCACCCTACCCCTGCAAACTGACCGCAGCCAAATTCAGAATACCAAAACCAGTACACCAGTCTCTGACCATCACTTTATTCTCGCTCGCTCTATATATAGATATACATGTATACGTAAATATATATATATATATATATATATATATATATATATTCACATTCTAAACGGACGGTCTCTGCATGTCCATTTCCCCCCCCCAACCCAACCCAACCCAACCAAACTGACCGCAGCCAAATTCAGAATACCAAAACCAATGCACCAGTCTCTGACCATCACTTTATAGCCTCTCTCTCTCGCTCTCGCTATATATAGATATACATGTATACGTATGTATATATATATATATATTCTAAACTATGTTTCTCTCACTGGTGTTTTATTCTTACATATCCGTCCCGTGGCCCTATAACGTTAACGTGCGCAGGCATTCGGCCAGTTCAACAGGTCTGAGGTGTATCATTGTTACTCTTCACCAATCACACACAGCGCCTGCTCCACAACCAGCCACTAGGAGGCAGCACTTGTCTGTAAGCATGCTGAAAAAGCACAAACCAGAGATTCAAGACTCAATGTAAAAAGGACTCGTTCGGAAGAACACTGACGATGGGACATATTTTTTTTTTTTTTTAGATGTGCTCACGTTCCCCCTTACTTCATGAATTCCCACTTTTTTTTAGCCGCATAAATGCCATCATTGACTATTGAAATGAATTCAAGATCTATTGCAGGATCTCGCCACTGTTCCTAACAACTCCAGCTCCGTTGTACCTACACTTCACCATCGGCTTTTTTACGTTTGCAGTGATTTCGACCGGCTATCACATCTCGATTCACTCAGCATGGGCGTTTGATGGCCATCTCAACTCACCTAGATGTTCGCAACCTCTCAACACTCGCCTGAAGCGACGGACACATTCTGTAAATGCTCACCAAGTTCATTACAACTACTAGCACAGTACCGCTGGATCCTGCCTGTAGACAACCATAGTGTAGATAGAGGTCATCTTACTTTTCATTCCATTTCTTACTGTGTTTTAATGTAGTGCAGTCCCAGATTTATGTGTCGCTCGGTGTTCCGAGGTGAATTCTGAGCGTGGATTATCAAAACTGCTGCTGTCGACCTCCGACTCCCAACACGACGCAAATCTGACTTATAAATTGGCGCATTCATTTTTAGTCAATTATAAGGACCTTAAAGGACACACAGGTTTTAGGAATAAAAATACCAGCGCCAAAACCCTCCATTATCAGCCAAGGAGGACGGTAGAGTGCTGGGAAGGACAGTCGGCACTGTGGGGAGGAAGACAGATGGATGAATGATATAAACCGTTAGGTCCGTGGACACACTGACCGCTGCAGCAGGAATTGCAGTATCCTAGTTTACATCCCCCGAGCCCTTATCTTGTCAACTTCTGTGTTGTGAGACTTGAGGAAACGAGGAGATCAAGTGATGCCTGACTAGCTATAACTTTCCTCCTCTTTTCCTCCCCTCTCCCACTCCGGGGATATGATATTGCGATAGCCCCATCCAAGACTTTGAAGTCGTATGCACCGCTTCCAGTCACTTTTTTTCCCCAGTTAATTCAGTTTGATTTAGAACTTTCATGAGATCATGAGATGAAAACAACCATGCCTGCTAGTTTGTAGAATTAACGTTTTGTTTTGTTTTTATTTTCTTTCACAAAAAAACGCAACAGACAAAAAAAAGAAAGAAAAATGGAGCAAATTAAATGTTGAGGGAGAAGTCCCAAAGTGTGGCTGCTTACAGTAGCATTATTTTTTGTTTTATGGATGAAGTTGGGGAAAAAAAATCACACTTGATGGTTCGAGAAGTTAAGTGATCTGGGGTGTGTTTCTCCAAAAGCCTTGTTCGCCAACTATGTTCGCAAGTTCCATTGAACTCGTATTGGTAACGACAGAATTTGAGGCCATAGTTGCTTTTGGGAAACGCACCCCTGGATGGGTTATAGATGGTAAAGCAGATGTACATTAAATGGAGAAGAAAAGAAAATCCAGTAACATTTTGCATTGGCGTTCCATTTGTTTATGTTTTTGGTATTATGAAATAATTCATTTTTACAGCATTTATTATGGTTAATGTCGGTTTATAAATATAGTATTGTTAGTTAATTCTTGTTTAATACATCTTGAAATGTATTAGAAATTATGTAGAAATGAACATCAACCAAGATAAAGACTACAAATATATTGTAAAGTATTATAGAAAATTCTGTAACATTACTTGTTTGAAACCCATATGACTTTCTGTCTTTCATGAAACAAAAAGGAGAAATTTTGCTATTTAAGCTGCTTGTTTCCATATAATTAAAGCGGCCAGTGCACAATTTCAACCATTACGTCTGTCTTTTTCTAATATAAAGCTGTTGTATTGTTTCAGAATACTACTTTTAGTCATAGGGACTCATTTTAAGGTGCTGTTATGTCCTTTCTGTTTGTCAGCCACTGGGCACTGTCCACTTTTGTTTAATGGAAAAGCACAGATTGGACTGGATTGGTGGAAGAAAGAAAGTCATACACGGTTGAGAATGAGAGAATTAATTTTTGGTGAACTATCCTTTTAAATGATTTTTGAAAAAAATGGTTCAACCAAAAACAAATTCATTTACTCATCCTCACATCATTTAAAAAATATTACTTTCTCTTGTGGAACATAAAAGCTATTTGGAGAAATTCTTAAAGTGTTTATGTCCATGCAGTGGAAGTCACTGAGCACCAAAATAGTTTGGTTAGCAACACTTTTCAGAATAACACATTTTATGTTTTACAGAACAAAGTCATACAGGTTTGGAATGATATGAGGGTGAGTAAATGATGACAAGTTTCATTTTTGGTTAAACTATCCCTAAAAGAGACTTTTATATTAAATAAGTGCAAAGCATACCTTCTTAGAAATGCGTAGCCCAAGTAGGAGTGGTGATGCATCTATCCCCAATCATACCAAACAAACTCAAAATGACATGTCTGACCCTGACAAGAATGATTTTAATCCACAGTGTCGAGCTGTCCAGGAAAGCAACATTAAATACTTAATACAGGTACTTCCTCTCAAATTACAGAATAACGAGAGAAAGTAGCCTAAAAGGAAAGAAAGCAGTCAGGGGTTATGAGGCAAACCTCAAAGCAGTTCACAGTAATACAAGACCACCCTTATAAATTACTCTATTTTGACTGAAAGAAACAAAAATGGGCAAAACCTCTTAAATTATAGGTAATAGATGGACATAAGTGACCATGACACTTGAGGAAAATAATAAGTAGGTCACTTTACGTATTAAAGAAAAATAGTACAAACTAAAGTCATCAGTAAATCATTGTGATTTTACTTGTGATCTGAGGGAGGTTACTTATCTGCTGAGTTAGTTACAAACTGGAAACACTTTCAATGTGTTTGCTGGGAATGCTTGTGTGCATCAATCAGCACACTAATCTGAACTCCTCTGTTGCTCGTTTATCATATTACACATTTTCCATGTCCCTTGAATATAAAGACTCCTAGGTTCCCATTCAGTTGGTCATTGATGCTTTCCCACGGTAAGTGTTGTATGATTTGCGGCTGGGGTAGTCTGTTGTCCGGAGTGCGATGATCCTGTGTGTGTTGGCGTTTGGAAGAAGTAGAGCTAAAAGGAGAGATGGAAATGTATTAAATACTAAAGCTGAGTGTTTGTTGTAATGGATGGTGTAACTTTACCGGAAGAAATGACCAACCTGCATGTGCAGTTGGAAGGGGAGGTAATGCTTATGCTATTTATCGCAGTCCTTCTTACAGGGTACACTATCATTTGAATATTTGGGGTCATTCATATTTATAAAAATACAGTAAAAACCGTAATCTTGTGAATTATTACAATTTAAAATACCTGTTTTCTATTATTAAATATTTTAAAATGTAATTTATTCCTGTGATGTCAAAGCTGAATTTTCAACATCATTACTCCAGTCTTCAGTGTCACTTGATCCTTCAGAAATCATTCTGATACGCTGATTTGCTGCATTTCTTAGAGATATCTTTTTATTATTATCAATGTTAAAAACAGTTGTGCTTAATATTTTTGTGGAAACTGTGATTTGACATTTTAATACAAAGTTCAAAAGAACAATTTATTTCAATTAGAAATCTTTTGTAACATTGTAAATGTCTTTACCTTTACTTTTGATCAATTGAATGCATTCTTCCTGAATAAATGTATTAAAAGTGTATGTGTATAATGTACATTTTATTTATATATATGTATATTATACACACACACACACACTGACCCCAAACTTTTCATCGGTAGTGTATGTCACATTATAAATCACTTTAAGCACTATCAACAGCATATGTTCTTGTCAGTTACCACATAATTTAATATGGACTCATCCTCTGGTTTGTAAAAATGAAGTGTCTTGAAAAGTTTATTTGCTGTGATATCAGACTGGTTCCAGTTAAATGTGTTAGCATAAGACTGGTGTGAATATGAACACCAATCTCTCAACATGCCATAACCAGCTATAGAAGTAAACAGAGCTACTTTTGCTTTGTATTCACAGAAAGATTAGGGTATTATGGTAACACATAAGCAGTTGCTCCTAAAAAATAGTTCCACCTTAAAAGTCTAATTTAAAGAGTTTTATAGCTCAAAGATGAGTCAAATTATTTCAGATACAGCTGATAGCGTTTAAGGTGTATTTGACTTGGAATAGTCCTTTGAAGAGTTTCTCTCACCTTAAAGCCAACAGCCAGAAGGGCATGAAGTGACACTATTACCGCCATGGTAGCAAATGCCGTTAGTTTTGTGTCATCGCGGATAGCCGGCCAGAATGCCATTACCAACACTGAGCCAGAGATCACCATGGCAATGACAATCAATAGCCACTCGAGCCAGTAAACGGAAATTGTCCATAAAATCTAAAAACAGAGACTGAATTTGACTTATCAGGTCTAACATCATTAAGTCTGACCGTGTGTTGAACATTATCTCAAACTTACCGAGGTAGGGATATAAATGAACAGAGAGTAACCGTAGACACACACAGTCTCTAAAAACGTGTAACTGCTGATGTGACTCTCAACACTTTGACGCCACATTAGGAAGCCCCAAACTCCTAGAGGCACCAGCCATGCATAGAGGAACACAGTGACGGCTGCAATCGAGACTAAAACGAAACAAAATCTTCATTTAGTATATTCATAAGGGATTGACATAAACCGCACTGTCTGCTACATATTCTTTTTAATAAAAATAAAAAAGACTCAAATCTTGAATCTATGAGTTGTGGGTTTAATCAGTGGTTGACCTTTAGATTTACTGATACTCAAATCTGATTGGTTGTTTATATAATAATATTTAGTTAATTTCGTTTATTTATATAACTAAAACAAATACATAACCAAAAAGTTGTGTTCTTTTATATTCGTAAAGTATAATATTAGGTCCAATTACTCTTAAAGTACCAAAGAAATCATTCTCCACAAATGTCCATTCCTACTGCGGTCTCACCTCTGTTGAATTGAGGTCTGTAGTGATGCCCTGGGTCTCCCATATTGAACAGAAATGTGTAGAGGTCTCCACTGATGGCCACTGAGAACACTAGAGTCACACAGATCCAGAAAGGACCTGACAAGAGGAAGGAAAACAAAAACTAAAATGTTTGACAGTTTCATGATAATCCACATTCATTCAAATATAAAGAACTCATTTGGATGTGTTGTTAAGAAGTGCTCTGCAAGATTAAAAATAATATCTACATTACCATAGAGATCAGGGTTATTTCGAATGTGGTGTTTGACGAAATTCCGTCCTGGCAAAGGTATGACTGAGCCCTTTATCCTATCCAGCACCTAAAATAATAAAGATAACAGTATTTACAATTACTAAGGCACTAGAGTTGTTTATGCTTTGATTTGAATGTGGTAGTTAGTAGTAGGTAAATGACCAAGCAACCAGGATCTCCCTTTAAAATATTAGTAATTAGTTCAAATTTACCATGATATGAGATAAAGCCTAAATGTGAAATTTTCTATTACTATTAGTATTATGTCAATCTTGTCAAAAATACTGGTTAACCTGCTTTTTTTTCCCTTGATGTTTTGTGACTTTTTTTTTTTCATTTAGAGTCATGAACATGTATGCAAAGTTTCTACTGTTTACATAGTTTGCCAGTCAATCTGCACAAAAGCAATATTTGTTATTTTGTGTCTTTTTCTACTCCCTAAGGGTATTTACATTTATGTATTTGGCAGATGCTTTTATCTTAAGAAATTTACACCGAGTTGACAGTGTACATTTTTGTCACTTCCTGCATGGTAATTTCGCTGGGAATCGAACCAGTGATCTTTAAATTGCAAGCGATGCTTCTACAGTTTGAGCATTAGGAAAGCACACAGAATAAATGTGACCCTGGACCACAAAACCAGTCTTAAGTCACTTGGATATATTTGTAGCAATAGCCAAAAAAACACTGTATGGGTCAAAATTATCGATTTTCTTTTATGCCAAAAATCATTAGGATATTAAGTAAAGATCATGTTCGTCGCTGGGGTATATTTGTAGCAATAGCCAAAAATACATTGTATGGGTCAAAATTATCGATTTTCTTTTATGCCAAAAATCATTAGGATATTAAGTAAAGATCATGTTCCATGAAGATATTTTGTCAATTTCCTACCATAAATATATCAAAACTTAATTTTTGATTAATAATATGCATTGCGAAGAACTTAATTTGAACAACTTTAAAGGTGATTTTCTCTATATTTTTTTGCACCCTCAGATTCCAGATAGTTGCATCTCGGTCAAATATTGTCCTATCCTAACAAACCATACATCAATGGAAAGCTTATTTATTCAGCTTTCAGAAGATGTATATATCTCAATTTCGAAAAATTGACCCTTATGACTGGTTTTGTGGTCCAGGGTCACAAATGTTTTTACAAACTTCTGTTTAAAATGTTTAAATGCTTTAAAAAATGGTTACAAAATAGTTTAAATACCCTTTATAAAATGTACAGTTTGTAAAAAAAAATATTTTTGTTTAAATCATGTTAACTTTATTTAATTATATTTTTTCAGTTATGTGTGGAAACTATTAATGATAAAAGTTTACTGTTTTTACTGTATTATTCATTTATATGCTTGTTTTCATAGTGTGACTTTGGTGAACCATACCGAATCCAATTTGGGTAATTTTGACCCAAAGATTATATTATACTGTACCAAGATTATATTACAACATAATATGAAGGTTACAAAGAATACCATACCAAGTAAGAAAACAAATATACCTGCATTGTATCTACGTTGAAGAATGACTGATAGTATTCAAACGTCCAAAAACCACCAGTTTGTTTTTCACCTCCAAGCAACTGTGGGAAAATGGGGG